GAGAAAAATGCATCGAACTGAGGCACTGAATTTTCTGTGTGTACGACCCTTCCGACCCCATTTAAATAGGGATGTTTGGCAAGTTTTCTCCGTGAATATTCAACCTATGACCTTGAATCTAGCATCAATTACGTGACACGCTTATACGAGTATGATTACCAAATTTCATCAAGATCGTTCAACTCCTTCTCGGTGTAACATTTTTTTTCGATGAATACGGAAGTTTAGAAAATAAGACATCCTTTTCGATGCAACACGGCTGCCTTTGTCAAAATATGTGACTTTCTGAAGCATTGAATTGCAAAAATTGAATAAAATCCGTATATTTATCGACAGATGTGGCATTCAGCACATGTATATGTTATAATAGCAGCAATTCATGTTGCACAACCCCAAAGGAAATGCACACGGTCACTTGACAGTAATTCCCCTCCTTCCCTCCACTGTCTCTCGCTCAAATCCGGCTTGACAATGCACAGCACCAAAACAGAGACTGCAATAAAAGAAAATATTAAGAGAGGTTTTTTCAGGATATGTTTTGGAACTTTCATAAGACTCATTGTGATAAGACTCATGTTCCTGGCTCTGACCGTTGCCTTCCAATGCCTCTGTCGGCAGATAAGCGCCTCAGTAAGTACCGACCCAGCTGGTAAGGCAGTGTTAGGGTGACGTTGTAAAACCGTTGAGTGTTATATATAGTTCGAGCGTTCTTGCACGACACAGAATGAACGTTGGCATGACGTTGAAATGTCCCTTTTGGAAGCTCTCAAAGCACCGGACGAGCGTTAAGGAAACATTAGGATGATGCGTATTAATGCCCATGCTTGTCTTTTAGTTCGCTTGACCACAGTTTCTCAAATGTGTGATTTCCAGGAAAATGTGGTATATTCTAGTGGTACATGAAAAGCATAGTATTCAAACACAGCCACTGACCATTTTGCATTTCTCGGACTTCAAGACAAATGGTAAGAATTTTAGAGGGAAGTGATCACGATCATAAGGATTCCACCCCCGTCCTTCCCCAGCCTTATCTTGGAAACCCATCATTTAGGCGGCTTGCGTTCCGTTTCCGTATTGCTCAATGAGGTTTAATTAATGAGGTTTATAGCGGAGAAAAGCTAGATATTTCTATTTTTATTACATGCATTTCACATTTTAACAGAAATTGTTGAAACTACTTTTCAGCTTGTCAGAAGTGAAAATGGCGACTCCACAAGAGAAGGCGAGTGTGCGTTGTGATTTGCAGAGTTGAAGTCAGTCACACCGGTGTACAATTCAATTGCTTTAATGTGCATCACTGGTACTTGGTTTTTATTGTTTGCTTTCCCCAGATAAGACGAATATCAATGGAAAATTTATTGAAAGAAAATTGAGTTTTTGGAAAGGGTTCTTTTTGGGAATATGAGCCTGTTTTTGACCTTGGCCCCATGAATCTGTCTCGAATACGAGGGTAATAAGTGATGAAGTGTCGGAGTTCATTGTTTCTTCTAATGAGACAATGCGAGACAGATGGCAAGGGACTAAACACTCCTGTGCGGGACGATTCCAGGGAAAGGGAAAAGGGCATTTTCGTGTACTGTGAGAAAAGCGAGACCTACGCCTCCATCTCATGGCAAGGACAACTTTACAATTCCTTAAAGTTCACCCTAAGTGTTACCACCCTAGTCACACCAGATATTGGCTCAATGCTGGACCTGCATTAGGCACGATGTCTATACCTAGTATACATCTTGCCATTATTGCCAATACCGGCTAAAAATTGGCTAAATATTGATTTCTCAATATGGCAGTCTGATATCATCGATTCGATATCAGACTGATGCGATGATCCAATGTGCCCAAGTAGCACGAATGAGATTTTTTGTGGAAATGTTGAAGTTCTACTCTAGGCCACTAGATGGAGGTATGGGTTTCGCTTTTCGCACAGTACACAAAAGTGCTCTTCCCTCTTCCTATAGAATCATCCCTCACAGGAGTGTTTAGTACCTCAACATATGTTTTTCCTAGTCTCATTTTAACAATCAATAAAATCGGCACTTAATCATTTATTATCCCCAAATTCGAGACAGAATCATGGAGCCCAAGGAGAACCCCTTCCTTGCATGTATATAAATCCTTCAAAGGAGTTCCTAAAAACTCACCTGATTAGGCCCTTCCGGCCAGCTGGATCCGCAAACGCCTAATTTGCATTTTATTACATTGTTTATTACATTTACATTTGTTTAACACTGTTTAATCTCGTAAGTGCTCGAAATGTCTTCCATCAACGTTGCAACATTCCTCGAACCTGTCCAGAACACTGTGACACAGTGACACACAGAAAAATAAAATAAATAAATAAAACCTAAACAACTGTATACCTACTTTTGGGCCACCCTCTACTTTGCTCTGCCTTTTGCTTCTTCAACATTGGAAGAGGGGAAGAAAGAAGAATTTGGGTACTCTGCAGAGTAGGAATGGGAAGGTCGTTCCCTGGGAAGTACTATAATTAGTATACTACGAGTGACTTCTGCACTCCTAAGCCTTCATAATTGACTCAATATTAGGGTGCTACTAGGGTGGGATTGAGCGTTCTAATAAATGCTACTGCAATGTTGGTCCAACGTCCAGCCAGTGTTGAACTTCAACATACATTTGAATATTGAGATAAGCCACATTGAAATATTGACTTAATGTTCGATGCAACGCCACCACAACAGTGGGAAGGATTAAAATTAACGTTCATTCAATGCTCATTGAATGTTCGTTTATTTGCTGGATATCTGCCTCTCTGGTTCCGATACCTTTGGAATTATCTTCTTCGCCGCATCCTAACCATCCAACTTTGAAATAAATCATTGATGTCACTGGTACGGCATGAGCCTATATAAAAAAAAAGTTCTCTATGGTTCGCGCGTCCGCGCCGCGTGGAGTTGGGAGAGCATGAAGTGCAGGATGCCAGATGCGGCTTTTAGCGCGTAAGCCCAGGAACTCAGTCTACGCGGCCACAGCAGTCCCTCTCTCCTATTGTTCACCATGGACAAGGCATCCGCGAGGGTTGCAAGGGAAGTGGAAGTTTTGGCCGTAGCTGCAAGCTTCATTTGTGGGGACTCTGGTTCTGCAATGCTTGACACGCAATCAAACGTCCGTCTCGATCGTTGTCTGACAGGTCAGACACGACTGGGTCGATGATGATTTAAACCAAGTATTTTTTCATTATTTTGTGCACTGTTGATCGAATCACACGAAGTGCTGAACGTTACCTCACGTACTTCAGGGGAGCGTAAGCACGAAGCCTGAATTTAGTCTGATGTTTCCACTTTTTGTAATCGCTTTCCAGAACATGCAATTCGTTTACTTTCAAGAACGCTTCCAGAATCAATTTTTTTTCCTCTGTACCAGGTAAAGTTTGAAGCCTGGTGAATCCTTCCAAAAACGCTTTTAAAATGTTTCAATGTCTTTTCTTTTCCTGTTTCTCTTGCGTTCGTCAACCCATACAGTGGCAACTAGTCTCTCTTTCATTAGTAAAATTATTAGTGTTCGTCATGATTGACTTTCAATAGGATGTCGCTTCTACGGCCCGAAGAAAATGGGAGAAACGAAAAAATATATCCTGAATAAAGTTCTGATGTTTTTCTTTCATGCAGTCCCTCTTTCGATGCTGTGCATTGCAATGCCGGATTGAAGTGTGAGAATCTAGAGGGATGGAGGGGAATTGCTGGCAAGTGAACGTGTCCTTTTCCTTCGGTGCTGTGCAACAGAAAAAACTGTTATCTTAACATTCCGTGTACCGAGAGCCACATCTCCACAACTCCCGAAAATGTAGCAGTTGTGAAAATAAGTGTTAGCTTGAGAGAAGAGGCTAAGCTCCATTCTCTTCAAATATTCTACTTGTCCAACAGAATAAGACTCGTGAATGAGAAGTTCACGTTGACGTGAAGAGATTATCCAAATTTTCCATTGATATTTGTCATCTCTGCGAAAGCAAACAATAAAAACCTCTCGTACTAACCATGCGCATTAAATCAATTAATAGTACTCAGAAACTGAATGCAATCTTCTGTTGTATGTTTGCTGAATAATTTTTTCTTGTTAAAGTGGGATCAGGTCGTCAGTTTCTTTCATGAACGCAAAGTACACAAAAAAAGTTAGGCAAGGCAGTCTCAAACAGAAAATTTTCCATGGTATCATAGTTCTGACAAAATTGATGGGACAAGAACCTGTCCGTGTGATTTACACAATCGAATAATATAGTGGAGTGGCCAGCTAGGGGGCTAACTTTAACTTTTCTTTCCATTTGTTCTATATTGCAGTTTTCTGTACCAAAAATTATAATGCTCTCTTTTAAGCCTTCACAACATTCCCAGGTTCGACTTTTGACCACATAGCGTATGAGCTGGTGAGTGATAAATAAAAGTACAAATGAATTTATTTTTTATTAACAACATTCAATAGGATGAGTTTGACAAGCAAAACGAAAGCACACAGCACGGCACAAAAGACAATGTCAGTCCTGGACTTCACCGTGCATCAAACACCACCACTGTAACAGACCAAGGCACATGAGACTGAATGGGGTTTCATCTCCTTATAATGCACAGACAGAATAAAAGGTGAGGGTGTTGTTCACAGTGGGATTGAGATTGACAGATGCAACCCCCTTCACAAGTTATCATTCTTGTGGCACAGGACACAGTCTAGATGCATCCCAATGACCCAAAAGTTTGGGATGCTTCTTTCCTGTCGTGACCCATGCTTACCAAAAATAAATGATATTCACAGTCACCATCATCAATCCAGCCATCCATTCCAGCAGGGAAGGATTAAATGAGAAGATGGATTGGCTGGAGTATCTTTGCTAAGAGAGGCACAGATCATAGGTGAACTTCGCCAAACATGGTTCACCTGGAGATGGTTTTATGATTAAGATAACTATGGCATTACAGTATCTTGACAGGTAGGCATGTGAGCCACAATTAGTCTTTGCTGAAAAAAAAACAAAAAAAAACATTCCCAGTGACTGAGATTCTCAACTTTTTCCCCTCACTCATTCGTCATGCTTCATTGTTCATTTTAAAAAATTTCATAAATCTAACAAATAATTTTACACCCCCCTGCATTCCACTCATCCATGCTAGACTCTTTTAAATACATTAACATAAATAACTCTTTTAAATACATTAACATAAATAACTCTTAAATACATTAAGATAAATAACTCTTTTAAATACATTGCTCTTCATGCTCTTGCTAAAACTTTTTCATTACAATGATTGTGATACATGTCTCTGCAATGTGAAGACAGATTGTACAGGGCTCGACCTGTACTGGATGTGTTATAATGTCAATTTGAAACTCTGCATGAGCTACACAAGAACCTTTCCCTAGATGAAGGCACCATGGAGATGCCATGTGAAACTTAGGGTTAACATGCCAGACAAATATGGCATGAAACAGTATGTGCCATGTGAATCTGAAACAGAGATGTTTTGAAGTGAGAAGTGTACACAGAGAATGGAAAACCTGTCCAGTAAACAGTGTTTAGTTGGATAGAAAAGTACATGAACAATGGTCATTGTTTTTACATGGACCATTTCAACAACAGTATAGTTATATCAGAACGTCATGAAAGAAAATGCACATCTGTAGTATGTTCAGGTTGAATCATGGTACACCAGCAGATATAGTTTCAAGTGTGAGAACTGTGAAGAAAGGTGATGTCACACTTCATGATAATGATGTTTAGGAAATAGTTTGAGAGGACAAAAGACCAGTCAATCTCATATCCACCATGCATGATGCATTCATAATGGAGATAACAAATGCAAAAGCAGAAAAAGTCATTCATAAGCCCTCTCTGGTGCTTGATTACAAAAGTCACATGAAAGGAGTAAATAAATTATATCAAATGCTTCACTACTTCTCAAAAATGAGAAACACCATCAAATGGATGAAAAAAGCTTGTCCTGCACTACCTGATGATTGCACAGCATGGAATGCTTGTGTCCCATATGCAAAAAGGTCTCAGGAAAGAACATCAGGTTAACTGATTTCCTTCAGGACTGTGCTGATTCTTGGTGCACTCACAGTAACACACCTGGAACATATTGACCACAAAGGGTCACAAGGCTGGTAGGAGGGCTTGCCAGGTACAACCTTTTAAAAGACACCAGCTACAGGAAGTCCCAGCAACACTTTGAAAAGGTGCTGCATGTATAGTATAGTATGAAATAGTAAAGAGAACCAGCAACATGTGCTAGTGGTGCAATGTTCCCCTGCATGCTAATAAGTGTTTTCAAGGTACTATGCCTTCAAACATGATCAAAAGTCATAAGGGCATAACAGGTGAGTTAATGTTAACTTCAAGTTTTGCAAAAGTCACGTCTCCAAAAATGGCATCCACAGTGCTAAGAGAGTTGAAAAGAGTCCAACTCAATGACTAATGTTCTCCATTCCATATGTATACATACTTGGAAAAAAAGTACAATATTCAGCCATTTTCCAGCTTACACTATGAATGCTTCAAAATTGTGAACAGCAGCTGTGATCAAACTGTTTCAGAATGGCAATTGCATATGAAGTATCTAAAGGCAACCCCAACTCAGTGGATGTAGACAGGGTTGGTTTATCAACCTCTCATGTTATCATGAGAGTGGCTTTCAATGATAGGAAGCACACTGGCAAACCATGTTCTTTTCATAAGTCACAGTTAGTTAAGGATAAGGATATGAAAGGGCAGATTAAACAGAATCCTCAAAATTTGCACCAAAAATTAGCTATCAAAATGGATACTTTACATGCGACCATGCAGCAAATGCTGAAACATGTCCTTGGGCTGAAGCCATGATGTGAAGAAGTGAAAAACTTTAAGTCACAATCTGCAAAGACAGGCAGAAAGAAAAAAATGCAGCACTCTTGCTGAAATGATTCAAACCCAACCAAATTTAGCTTTTCAATCAGAAGCTGTTCGAAGTGGATGCTAAGTGTAATACCCAAAATAAAAGAATTTATGACATCAGCATCTTGGAATCACCAAATGGTGTGAACAAAATGGAGGGGTCACACTGTGCAGCTTCAGAGATGGATAGGCTGAAGTGCTTTGCCACAAGCAAGTCTTCCCTATTTATATGGATAATAAAGGGATCAACACTTTGGAATAACTATTTAGCAGACATTCTTGAACCTCATGTGCACCATCTGCATCAGGATTTCTTCAAACATGAGAAGGGGTGGTTCCAGCAAGATTCAGCACCTGCTCACAAGGCCTACAAGACCCAAAAGTGGGGTCTGGGCAATTTGCTGTGCACCGTGTCCATTGCCAAAAGGCCTCTCTCCTTGCCAAATCTAAATTTACTGGACTATTACTTGGACAATATATATATTGTCCAAGCTGGAGTAGATGGCCTGGAATCATGCAATGTGGAGTCTCTAAGGCACTCCCCATGCAAAACCTGGGAACATTTGGACGAGGTGTGCCCTAGAAGCATGGCTGGCAAGGAAGATAGTCCATCTGTGGGATGGATAAAGGTGGTGTTTCTGAAGTTTAAGAATTCTTATTTGAAGTTGGTTTTTGCATTCCTGAACCATCTGTGCAATATGACCAACATTCACAATGTATCTTTAAGAGATATTACAGTTACATTCGATTGGTACAGTCTCCTAATTCCTCATGGTACTTAAACCTGCAGCTTCAATAACATCTGCTGGGAATTATGCCATTCTCATCATGCAATGAATGAAAACTGCACCTATTAATCACAAGGCTGCTCTGAGTTATTGCATTATAGGTGATAGTATAAAAATTTAATCTGGAAAATAAGTAATTGCCCTGATCAATCTAATGTACTTCCTGCATCACGAGATAAACCTCTATCAATATACGAGGATTTCTCAAAAGTTCTGCCAGTAGCCCACAAGTCGTCATCGGAGGCGGCCGCAAAGTGCTGGACCAGTTCGGGAAACTTATTTTTTATTTAAAAAAAAAAAGGTTTTCACCTGGTTGGATCCATCGCATGAAAAAATGCAATGAAATCAGTGGGGAGTATGTGGAAAAGGAGTGAAATAGTTGCCTGTGGCAATAAAGATCAGAATTTAATCATGGAACACTAGATTTTTTATTTATTTGGGGCTACTTGCATAACTTTTGAGAAATCCCTCGTGCATGCCATACACAAAGAGCTGTAGCAACATTCAGGGCACTCTTCCCTCTCAACAGCTGAGCTGTGGCAATTGTGAGCAAGAAAACCTGATGAATGCATAGGTACAAACATCAGACATCATGACATTGTTTTGCAAAAAAATAAGAACTTACAGCGTCGTGTCCTCTTCTTATACATGATTCTGTAGCCACAGTCTCGACACCTAATGGGATCCTTTGGCCTGATTTCATTCTCTTGGTGGCACTCTGTAAAACAGAATGAGGCAAGAAGGAATAAATGACTTAACAGAATGCATTGAATAGAATAGTGCTGAATAAGCCATAATATACAGGATGCACATAAAAACATTACATCCTTTCTTGTGGAGAAATCACAGGGGTTTTTCTGAGACATGGAATATGATTTACTCTCTGTTGCAAGAACCTCAATAAAGCATCATTTATCCCTGCCCTATGCTTCATACATAGAGATGGCCTATTATGTGTCAATGTTTCCTACTCTTAACTTTGCGGTGCTGTAACTCTCAAGATATGGTACCTGAAACTCTCTCCAGACAGCAGTACTTATTTGATGTTAACCAAAATTCAATTAGTTTATGTGCTAAGTAAAAGAAGATTAATTCAAGCCCTCTCATTGAGACAGTTTCTGTCCTTTCTTCCTCTTCTAAATAAGCAACAATAAAAAATCATAATCATTAATGCATTCTATTCTTTGTCCTTTTAGTTAGACGTTAATGTTGCCACAATTTTCCTGGGCATGCTTTCAATCATCTTGATACATTCTGTTTCAGGAATGATATTCCATTTGACATTGACTTGTGATCATAACATAAGTCCTTAATGAGATTAAGGTCAGGTGACTTTGGCAAGCAACACAGGAGCTTGATGGCTTTGTTTCTGAGCTATTTGCTATGCTTTTCAGCAGTGTGCATCAAATAATCCTCCCCTTGGAAGACATTCTGACCCACACAAAGCTGGCAGAAACTGACACTTCCCTCAAGGATCCAAGGATTCCCTATCTTTGAGAATGCAACAGCAGAGGTAAGCATTCTGTCCACCATCATTTCAGCAACAATTCCCCCCTGCTCTGTCTTTATCAGCTTTCATATATCTTATCTAGTAGAACTGTTTCATGGCAGGAGACATGACAGAAACAGGGAAACTGAAACACTTTCCACTATTCATGATGTTAATACAAAATCTCAAGGTGAACCAGATCAGGATATGTGGCTGATACAAAACAAATGAGATCTGGAATGAGGGTCATTCTATAGTGATACATATCAAAATATTCAGCTTATTTTCAGGAATCTCGAAAGTCACCTTGGAGAAAGTACTTCTTTTCTTGCAAGGAAAAGGAGGGGAAAACCCTCCACAAGACCCACTTATGGTCATGGGTTTTGTAGCATAGATTCCTCGCAGCACAAAGGAGGAGAGAAAGTGAGCATAAGAGAAGGTACAAGAGTAACGGCACAGGTACTGACCTGCCATTCTATGGGCCCCTATATCACTGGAATCATCTTTGCTGCATCCTAACCATTCAACTTTGAAATAAATAATCGCGTTCATTGGTACAGCATAGGCCGATTAAAAAAAAAAAAATTCCGGGATAACTATACAATGTTCTCGACGGTACGCCCGTCTGCATCGCGTGGAAGGAAAGTATGATAAGGAAGGAGAGTATATGTAGGATGCCAGATGGAGCATTTCACAAATTGGCCTGTCTACGTGGCCACTAACAGCGCCTCCCATATTCTCCGCGATGGATCCGACATCTGCGAGGGCTGGAAAGGAAGAGGATGTTTCAATCGTAGAGTGGCACCCCGACCGGGGAGGAGAGCTGCACATGCGCAGTAAGTTGTGTTGTCCAGTTTGTATGGATTTCGCGGACAGCGGATTAGAAGAAAAAAGTGAGACTGATCGCAGTATCTGCCATTTCCCCATAGTACCGATGGGAATGGCAGATAAGAGCGTGTCATGCGTGCCAAGAGTTCGGTTTTTATCATCATTACGAATGTCTTTGGGTAATTCTGGAATAAAATACTACCACACCCATGACCAAGCACCAAGCTTTCCTGGCTTCCACCACTTCGATTTCCTGAAGTATTAGGGTGATTTCGACAAAGAAAGCACGACAGTAACGAGGAAATCCAGACTGACTCTTTAGCGTATTCTGCACTGAAATAAAACCAATACCGGACGTAATCATTGGGGTCTCTGTTACAAATAATGGCTTTTATACTAACTCAGCTTAAGATTGAGTGTTAGCATGAATCGCTTCGCTCTACTCGAGTCCACCCAAGCAGCATGTTTATTGTAAACATGATAATTTTTTGCGATTGCCATGCAAATGGTACCACACTCAAATAAAATTTACATTCCTCTATTTGCATCACCAAAGTGAATGTGAATTGCATAAAAACTAGACACGACTTCACCTGTTTATGTAAAATAAATATAACATCCATATGAAACTTTAGCTGACTCTCCTGCAGTTGCAGTACCAAGATTCCCCCTCACAAGATGGAACCCATGTTCCCTGTACCCTACAAATGTAATTAAGTTCCTGTTTTCCTGATATGAGGTTTTCCTCCCATCTTTCCTCTTCTTATTAAAATACGGAAAGCACCTTAACGAAAATCTTATTCAAATCATGCTCATCGCCATAAAGAGCACGACCAAGGAGCTGAGCGACTGTTTAGAATTTTAAGTGTGTGGGATTATATATTATTGGAAAACACTTGCCACTTAATCCAATTTCAATAGTGGCAATGGAGTCATAATAATCGCCCGAAACGGCTACCTAAATTTTTTTACTGATGAAAAAACGTGCGGGAAAACTCCTAAAGGTGTTCAGAAAAATCGAGCTAAGTTTCGAGATCGTGACATGAAGCAATTTGGAGAAAACTTGCTAAATGCCAGAAAAATGGATCAATGAATGAATGGACTTTTATTTTCCTTTAGAATCCGAGAAATTATTCGATGGAAAACCTTGGATCTTTTTTCTCGCGCGCTATCATATCGGCGAGCGCATCAGCTAGCGAACTCCGGATGCGACATGACGCAAGACGGGACTTGGCCTGCTTCCGTCCGACCGACGAGGCCATCCCAGACGGGCTTCACTTCAGCCGTCCCTTGGTTTCTGAGCGACCGATTTTATTTAAATTTTCAAGCAACGAGGTGTGTTGGATGTCCTGCGAGTTTTTCCGTCGATGATTCAGATGGCAGCCGAGAAGAGGAAATTCCTAACAAATCCTTTCTACTCATCAGGATATCTACGTACGAGTCCCGGTGGCAATACAAAATATCTGGGTCATTTGGAAAGGGTGCCTCCCGTTAGCAAGAGTTCTCTCAAAGATCCACTCAGAAAAGCGTACCCACAACGTGATTCGCACCAGAGGTGGATTCCTTCCTCTCCTTACGTCATGGGCGTCTGACGCGGGGGATGACTCCCGAGCGGATGTGGAAAAGTACGCGGCCTCTCAACGAAGAGGTGGACGGCTCCGATTGGACTCTGTTATGAACAAGATTCCGCGATGAATGTTTGCAGATTTTCGTCACAGGCAGAAATTCTCCCCGTTCATGACCTGCTTCACTATGCTAACGTAATGCTGGCCTTCTTGTCGATAAGCCAACTAATGCGCAACGTCATTTGGTCATTCCAGCCCATTTTTCACTTCTCTTTTTCCCTTAGAATCCGAGTTACGATTCAATGGAGCATCCTGCAAGTTTTTCCCGTGGATGTCTTGGAAGTCAACAGTCGAAAAAAAGTGCTTAACCTCTCATTTCTATACAAGGCGGTCCACAACTGTCTCCCCAAAAGTAAAAGCTTATTATTCAAGAAGTACGCATCCGTTTTCAATTATACATGACTGAAACGATAGCCAATTCAATATATTTTCTACAGTGGAAAATGTCAACATTGCATGAGAAACTATAACAAAGGTACACCCTAACAAATGAAAGCACCCATATCGTGCAACTGAAGCCTGTAAATATCACAATCCCTTCTGAAATTCCATCATGAGTTTCGCGATTCATTCGTGGGTTTTTCGCGAGGGATTGTCCGTATTATGGGTGACTTCAGAATCCTGCAGGAGTCGAATATTGCCATTTGGTCTGATAGTTTGAAGCAGAGGTGGAAAAAGTTATTCTGTTTCCCAGTAACTATGGTTTAACTTCCCAGTTTAGCAGGTGCGTGAAATGACCCTGTGGCTCCCAGGACTAAGCAGAGGCAAAAAAAAGGAGGGGGGGGGGGGGTTGGCAAAAGTTCAATTTTAAGCCACAACTAGGCACGAAAACGCTTATACGAGGGGGTAGAAAAGTTCGAGGACTTTAGTTTTCAGTCTTAGAACGCTTGCACCTAAAATCCGCATCTTGTTATTTTATGACTATGGCATGCCTATATAAAATTCCATAAATTTCGCAATGACAAACCTTACCAGAGCGAAAGTAAACAATCACGGCCGAGGACCCTGCGAGAGAGCAGCGGACTGTGACAAATTTCCTCGTGGCCGAGGGCGAGAAGGCCTCTAAAGGTTTTTTCTGCGGAGGAGCACTTCGATCGACATTTTCAATTTTGCACTGGAATATTTATTTCACTGAATCCATACTTGAATTCTGTCTATTCAGTCGGCGAACGACCTCTGAAACGACACGTCACTTCAACGTGTTACGTTTCTTCGCAAGAGGCCGAAGGGATTGAAGGTTCAATTAGGGCACTTCGGCACTAGACACCAGCAGATATTCTCTCAGTGACGAGATGCATACGAGTTGACAGGACACAAGAACTGCTACGTACCAGGTACCGCAGTACCACGTAGGCGGAGTGCGGGATGAGATTGGACCGTGGCGTGGCGATTGTTGTTATTGACGTTCCGATATCGCACATTACGGTCTGACAGTAGATATTCGACTGCATATTTCACATTAGACTTTCATTAAAAATTTTCATTTTAATGACTCTTGATGGATGTTGGCCATTTAACCATACGACATTTAACCATCCCCCCCACCCTCCGGGGGAATTGAGTTGCCGACCACTGCATGCCAGCGTTATGGACTGACACTCGAAGAGTACGAGGGAGCTAGAGGAAAATCAAATCACGCAGAGTTGGAAATGAGGCGGTACCGATGATTGGCGCGAAAGAAACTCCCTCTCGTCTCGTGTTGTTTTCCTTGGACTAGACATTAATAGTCGCATGATAGTCATGGTTAGGGAGAGAGACGTTCAACCGATGTATTCTCTCAACTTTGGGGTCAAATAACGTCACTTAAGAGACGCGAAGGATGAATTCATCTCAGTGGAAAGCCAGGTAACCCGAGGCCGACTGCCGATCGATAAAAGAGCAAAGGTTTCCGAGGGGCAAGACGCCACCAAAGTTTAATTCGTGAAGTGTCTCTCGCTTCGCGAAATGCGCAAGCAAATCCCTTTTTCACGCCGATGACAAGACCGCCTTTTTATTACAACCAGGAAAATGTTTAATTTGTATAGGTGTCTTACTTCTCACCTTCTATCCCAGGGCCGGATAAAGAAGTTGTGAGGCCCGGGGCAAGTTGATTCTTTGGGCTTCTCTCAAAAACATCGATGCATCGACCTGAACTATCTATAGTGTATCGATGCAACAGGGGGGGGTTGTGCAGAAGGGATTCTATCATTTTCAGCGCAATTAGGTGGGGGTTTGTCTTCCATCGTGTCTTGCCACGATCGGAACGCAAACCTCTACCCGGCTTCCATAATCTCACGCTAGTGTGCAAGGAGGTGTGACCTTCGCAGGGAGTAATAAAACCTACCATGCCTCTAACTATCGAAGATGACATCCATTAATCGATTGTTCCATCAGGACAGCCTTAATTTTATTAAAATTGCCGTGAAGAATTAGTTGCCAAGCCGATTCACGAAATAATTTTTTTCCCGATTTTTCTTCGTTCTACATAGTCTTCTTTGGAAATTGGCACCGACAGATGGAAAACCTGCCGATTCTGTCATGGCGGCGGTCGACGAAACATCGGTACAGCCATAGAATAAGCAATGTCCATGTAAAATATTCACTTAGGTTCACGTTAAGGAGGTAAAATGCCCCACGGCAAGTTGAAAATAATAATAAAACTTAAGCCCGCATACTTGAGACACGGGAATACAGGGAGGATTAACCAATGCAGGTTTCGTATTCAATGGAGTATAAGAACAGTCCACTTTCGCAGCATGCACCTGATGAAATCGAGCCAAGACTGAAACTAAAGATGAAAAATATTCTCGGTCTTCCCTCCCTCTCCTTTCCCACTTCCTGTATCCGATCCAACATGTTTTTTTCTTTCTTCTCTCCCTTCCCATTGTCAGTCCGAGCATTTCCAGAACTTGATCGGGACAGAAATTGCTCGCCCGTGCGAGTCACGCTACCTCCTCCTTTCCCCGCCCGGAAGGACTGTGTTGTACTGTACTCGCCTCAATCCAATGGGACATTTTCCTTTTAACCCTTTCAGATCTGGCG